TTAACAATTTCAAATCCAGCCTATAGACAAAAAAAAATCTTTTCAGTTATTTCAAAGCAAAAAAAATTATCTTACTTCTTGAGCTGATGCATTTTCATTTTCAGTTGAATCTTTTCGTGTCACTGGTGAATTCTGATTAATATAACATAATCCAATTGTTACAGAGCCACGAACACGTTGAAGAACACTAAAATTTGTATTATAAAAAAATTATTCTTTTTTTTTGTTTTTTTCTTCAATATTTTTACCTTCGTTTTAATAATGGATAATCTCTTGTTAACATTGATTGTTCGGCTGATTCATATGGAATATTTAAATTCAATTCAACAAAAAACATACCAAGAAAATCATCTTTTGTCTTCAAAAACGACAAGAAGGAAGTTATTCAATTTCATTTAAAATGATTAAAATTTTCTATACATACTATTTTATTTTGATCATATACTTCAAATGCAAGTCGATGTTTAGTGGGATCAACCTAATAATTACAAGAAAACAAAAACCAAAATTATTTTTTTTTTCTTTTCAATTATTTTTTTTTTTATATACTCGAAAAGTAAAATCTTGATTCCATAACGGATTAAGTGTTTTTGGTATTGTACGTGTAATGGCAATGTCAATTGTTTGATTACGATTTTCACGTGTTTGAAGTAAAATTTTTACATATGGATCACTTGATCCACCAAGAAAATCTCGTCGTTGTAAATCAACTGCTCGTAAAACTTTAACACGTAACAAACGTGTATTATGTTCGGATGCATCAGCACCATAAATTTTCTCTCTTGATGCTGTATCAGACATTTATGTATTGGTAAATATGTGAACTATAAAAAAAAATAAACAAACATAACTAAAATTCAACAGATTATTTATTAGTAGTGATAATCATTTTTCTTAAATGACACAAAATAAATATAAGAAATAAAAGGATAAGTAAACATAGATATGTTAACACTGCAAAAAACGATGTGACAAATAGGACTCAAAAAGAATCATCATGTAAAGTACGCAAGTGTAAGACATCGACAAAAAAAAGAATACAAGTATAGTAGATTTTTAACTTTTTTTTTAACGAAATGTCTACTTTTTTAACCAATCGGAATAATAAGTGAGAATAGTTGTCGCAAGTTCACATAGATAAAGAAACATAATGTTCTTTTCTTGTTTTTCTAGAAAAGTAATATTGATGAATTAAGAGGGAAGATAATATGATTGTTAATAGAAGCTATGATAAAAAACAAATAAGAAAGAAAATATTAAAGAGAAATAAGTTACATTTTAAAAAATAAATAAATATTTATTTACTTGTCTTACAGAGAGTGAAAAACATTTTCTTTTGAAAAAAAACAAAAATTCGAGATGAATACAACTAAATTTTTAAAGGTGAATAGCCATGAATGAGTCAATAAATATGAAATAATGATAATTTAACAGATAACTTAGTTTTCAGTTAAAAGATACTTGTTTTTACTTTATTAATAAAAGTTCTTTCTTTATTGAAATAGATATGAAAAGATCTCAAATGTATTCAATTTTCTGTAAAGTGTTCAGTTTTTCTTTTTGCATTGATTTGCTTGAATTAATGAAATCGAAAAAGAACTATCTGAAAATTTTATCTAATGTCCGCACCAGAATTAAAGAGGGGTTGGTGTAAATTAAATAACTCAATAACGGCAAGAGCTAGCGTCCTGCGGTTTTCACCAATCGAACGAGGAGACTGGGGGACGTATTTTGTTACGATATTGTTTCGAACAAAATTGTTTTGGACACTGTTATTTTTGTAAAATCTTTTCTGAGAAGACTTACAGATGGTATGGCAATACAATCAATTTTTATTTTGATATTCTCATTAGATAGAGGGATTTCAGATCTATAGTTCAAGATACAATGCGCTTTCTTACTTTTCATTACATTTTCATCGAAATGTCAAGCTATTATGATAAAAAGTGCGAAGACATAGTAAAAAATCAGCAAAATTCCCTATTATTTGCGCATGTAAATACATGATTCCATTTGCTCAACGTTAGAATATAATAAAAGAACCATTTGCATTGAGTCTTGAACTATAGATCTGAAATCCCTCTATCTAATGAGAATGTCAAAATAAAAATTGATTGTATTGCCATACCATCTGTACGTCTTCTCAGAAAACATTTTACAAAAATAACAGTGTCCAAAACAATTTTGTTCGATACAATATCATGACAAAATACGTCGCCCGATCTCCTCTTTCGTTTGGTGAAAATCGCAGGTCGCTAGCTCTTGCCGTTATTGAGTTATTCAATTTACACTAACCCCTCTTTAATTCTGGCGAGGACAATAGTTTGACAAACAAGCGTGTAAAGTTATAAAAAGTCTAGAAATTATTTGAATTATGTATTGCATTCCATACGTATATGTAAAAATAAAAATAACAATCTTACGAGAGAACGTCCCCAACTGTCAAGTCTCTTTTGGGCCAGGTATGTGCGCAAACGATAGACCTCAGCGAGTTATTGAATGCTCTAGAATGGTTTGGTTTTCCTGCCTTCTGTTATCGAGTTATGGACCTTTTACTCGGTTTTGACTTATGAGCATAAGACTCTTCTGAGTACCTGAATGATCGAATTTTAAACTGAAATTTTGCCCATAGATAGGCCTTATAAGTACTAGAAACTACACAAAGTTTGAGCCAGAACGAACTTATCCTTGTCGAGATATTCATATTTTAAGGAAACGTCTGCTTTAAGCCGTGTTTCAAAAAAGAGGCATTTTCATGACAAGCTGATATCTCGACAAGGATAAGTTCGTTCTGGCTCAAACTTTGTGCAGTTTCTAGTACTTATAAGGCCTATCTATGGGCAAAATTTCAGTTTGAAATTCGATCATTCAGGTACACAGAAGAGTCTTATGCTCATAAGTCAAAACCGAGTAAAAGGCCCATAACTCGACAACAGAAGGCAGGAAAACTAAACCATTCTAGGGCATTTAATAACTCACCAAGGTCTATCGTTTACGCACATGTCTGGTCCAAAAGCGATTTGACAGTTGGGAACGTACTCTCGTCAGTCTTGTTTAGAAAAGTGTGATACGAGTTTTGATCCTAGTCTCACACGACTGAACCAAGATCAAAATGATTTTGTGCGAAATATCTTAGAAGTCGTTCCAAGAAAAAAAGATGACGAGTACATCATATATCATTCCATCTTAGATCAACGATTTCGGTAGGTTCTCGTCAGAAAGGAGCCGTTTCCCGTTGGAAAATCATAGGAACATGGAAACAAGAACAGGATTTCCGGTTAGGGGTAGGATAATACCATTGTAAAATGAATAGGATTGGAAAAGATACACATGAATGTTTGACTGAGGTTAATGAAAAACGGTTTCGTGTCTTCATCAAAGCTAATAAAAATATATGATAAGTATTGTTTAATAAACACAAAAGAGTAAAATCATATACTTTAATACCATTTCATTTCATTGAATTCAACAAGTTCTCACTGTCGAATACCATCAAATTCTATTGATGGAGTCTGATGGGATGACCCCGACCCGGGGCATCTTCTCGTTACCATATATTCCGACTTCGAAAATCCTTGATGTCCAATAGAATAGTCATCATTTTATCAGTCAAACAATATTTTCATCATAAGATGGAAAATTGCTATATTTTCTATTCTGTAAGTGTTTAAGCACTGTAATCATTAAGATGCAATATAATAAATATTGAGCTGACACATAAGTTCTGCACATTTTTTTGTGTTTTAGGCAAATTTGAGGCTTTGTATCTCGTGATTGGAAAGTTATGGATGTCTAAAATTTTCAATATAGATAGAAGTTATAAAGATCTATCTACACTAAAAATTTCATTCCTCTATCACTTTCCAATCATGAGATATAAGGTCTCAAGTTTGCCTGAAACACCAAGCAAAAATGTGCAAAACTTATGCGCCAAGCCAATAATAATTAATCAACATATAAAGTTACAATGCAGTTCGATCTATTTTACTAATAGTAACAAATAGTTCGATTCTGCTTTTACTAATAATTGATTGTATGTCTTCAGATGATTCATCGTATGTTGTTCAGTGTTAATCTGATCAACTTGATTCCAAAATTATTGGCCACACTGCTTCGTTCTCTGTTATAATTGCTTTATCCTCATCTTCTATTGTTGATTCTTTATCAGTTGCTCATGAATCTACAATTGAACAAATGGATTGGTTGTTAGAAAAAGATCTATCGAATTATAAAGTCTTTAAAATCACAGAAAATAAAATTATCTTCGATGAACTGACAGGTTTTTAATTTTTCGGTCAAGAAATCTCATATAAAACAATACTTTGAACTGATTCCAGACTTTGCCAGTTTTCTATTATATTTTCAGTCGTATGCATTTACACCAAGTTCTCGACATACATAATTGTGTTGAAAATTTATCTCCTTGTACAATATAAAGAGTTTCGTCGGTAGATGGTAATGGAACTCAAATGAAATTAGAAACAGTTTACATACATCGAGAGAATGATATGTGCTACTTCATTGTGAAACTAAGTAAAAGACATGTGAACTTGGTTATGATAAAATTATGAAATACAAAATGAAACTGATGTAAAATTTTGTACCACTAATGGAAAATCCATTCCACATGGAACCCTGCTTTCCATTATCTTAATAAACCTTTCAGTCATTGCTAACAATCTAATATCCATCCTTTGTATGCATACCGAGAGAGTTTCTCATATTGCAAAAACTAAAATGTTAACTGATTAGTACAAGATCATATGTATATTATGAATTAGACTATTCTATTTGGTTTTTTTTAGTGTGAAACGAATAGATTGCTAAAAGAACGTTGATATTTTCAGATTGCTTGGTTTTTCGTAAGTTTTTATTTAAGAGAAATAGATTGAACAAAAAAAAGTTATTTTATTTAAAACAAAGTAAAAAAATGAAGAAAAAGCTGTTTATCAAATTAAAATTTAGAATCAATATTTCATCGAGATATACATATTCAATATTTATTCAAAAGAAATACGTGTACCATGTGTTTTTGGAATATCATTATTAATAGAAAAATTTGATTTTAAATTTAATCGATTCCAAACTTCGACTTCATCATGCTCATCTGGATATTTTGGATCATCAAAACCATTTATATGACGTCGTCCAGCACCATGAATAAAAATACGAATTTGTTGTCGTTTACTAACAGCCAATATTAAAAGTACCATAATTAAAAGAAAGAAACTAGCAAAAACAACTAATTGCATCCTGCTAAATGATCTATCAGAATGTGATTTATGATGTTTATGATGTTTTGTTGTATGATCACTTGGTTTTGAGCTATGACTACTAGTCATGAACGAAGTACGATGTGTTGTTTGAGGTATTGTTGAACGTTTATATTCATCTAATGCTTCAGCTGAATTGTTATTAGTAAATATATATGGATATTTTTCTGTAGGACAATTTAATGTTTCATTTATATGCCAAAACCATTGTTTAGCACCAACAGGTTCAAGCATATTATTCCAAAGTGAAAGTGCAGCTTGTGCATGACCTTTGCCTAACATAACATACATAAAAAAAAGCAATAATCATAAAATAAATTCTTTTGAATGCTATAAAACTTACCACTAAAATGAAAACAATCTGGTGCAAAATAACTGAAATCAATTTCGCCATTATTTTTTAATGGTATTTTAGTTTTTGCCATAAATGGTTGAATAACAACAGTAAAATCATCACGTTTATCATAACGACCTGAATTAACTAAATCAATAAGTATTTGGTGATATCGTGGTATATAATCATCTAAGATTTTTATTTCTTCTTCTGTTGGAAAAGCAGCACATGGACATGTTCGTTTATGAAGTGTTTGACAAACAAAACCACCACTATTAAGATCTTTTACACCACGAACATCAAGTACAAGAACAAGATTAACAAATGTACGTGGTAATGGTGCTTCATATAATTTATCAAGCGTATCACGTACATAACTTAAATATTGTTCTGGTGTATGTTTTGTTATATTTGGATCTTCACAAAAGCTACATAAATCATTACCCTAAATAAAATAACAAAATATAAAGATAAAATTTTTCATATGAACAATACAAAAATTTACCCCGATAAAAAGTGTAATAACTTTCCAATCATTATTCCAATCACATATTTTTTCAGTTTTCATTCGATCCATAAGTAATGCAGCTTGATCAGGCATATGATTCGATCGATCACCCGATTTAGCTAAACAAACAAGTATTAGTTTGTCCACAAAAAAAAACCACTCTTTTCAATAAATAGATAAATACTTACCAACATTGAGTCGATTATTTGCAGCATTTTGACCATTAAGAAATATAACGGATACTTTCGTAGAAAAACCTTTAACGTCTGCATTATATTGTCGTAAAGCATTGGGTACTGAAAGTACTTTTGAATATGTAAGATCTCCACCTATCGACCAAGATATACCTATAAAAATAAGTCCAAAGAATATTATGCGAAACAGAAAAAAATAAAGCATCTAACCTCGATATTCGAGTAATAAACCAACTGGAGTAACTGCTTGTGCACCTAAACCAGCTGTTAAACTATCGCCTATAGCACCAACACATTTAACATCACTTGGTCGTAGTTCATGTATTGTTTTTGGAACATGAGAATCTTTTGGAATAGGGCACGGAAAATTTTGATGTGGACTACCATAAAGATAATCTGGTTGAGAAAAGAGTTTGAATGACCATGCAGCATATTCTTCAAGAAATTTTTCATCTTGACTAAGTTCCTCAATATAATTTGTATAATTATCGGCCTCAAGAGCACAATTTTTGCCGATAAAGAATACACCCAAAACAAAAGTAACAATGATGAATTTCATCGTTATTGTTGTTTTTGTGAAGTTATCGTCGTTGAATACTTTGACTCTGTGCATTACTGTAAACGAAACAACGAAAATATAACCTTTCGTATCTGAATATGATAAATAGATAAGAAAAATAATGATGATGATTCGACAAAAATTATCTTCATATGATTATGTATAGGTAAGAGTTTGCAACTATATGAAAAGTATGCTGATAAAAGTTTTTAAAAAAAAAATAGGTAAAAACTGATGAAAGAAAATAAAAGATGTCAGTTGCGTGTGAAATTTTATGTTATATCAAAGAAAATAAATAAGTTCAGTTTAAAGTGGAAAATTTCACATTTGTTTTTTTTTCTTGATCTTATGAAAGAATGACGACGACCAATTTTCAGTGTGAATTCTGTTATCAAATATAATGTTGTAACTTTCTTTTCAAATTATATATTCTTCATTATATATATACAGTGAAATCTTTTTAATGTGAGCACTATCGAATTGAGTCAAAAGTGCTCACTATAATAAACTTTTTTGTAATCTATCAGTAATCTGTTGCAATCACTTTTCAGTTGTAGTCTTTTTCTTCTTTCGAACAATTAAATAATTCAATTTTTTTTAATCAGAGATAAATGCATTCGTATTGATATGATTTGATGTTACTAGCTATTACTAGAAAAACGACAAGATGTTAAGCCAAACAGTTTCTTTCTGGTCTAATATTGTCTATTTTTTCTTTTAGAGACATTCACAGCTAATCTATCTCATTTTCCTACACGTTCCATGATTATTTATCACAACGCAATACACATAAAATTATCGTTTTTTCGTTCTGTACAAGATTCATAGAACATACATTAGTCATATTACGGAGGTTGTTATTAATCATGAAGATCAAAAATAAACACTCACTGCTTAACCTAAAGAGCTACTCACATATTGAGAGATTTTACTGTGTTAACTATATTTTCGATCGTTTATTTTTAATGCATTCAATTGTTATAATTTTCAAAAGAAATTTAAATGTTTTTCTAATCTAAAATTTGTACGAGATTTAATCATGAATATGTTATAACTGATCTCATATTTATGTCTCGAATACTATATTTATTGAGTCCTTATACATGTATAGAAGGTAAAGAATGACTTTTGATGATATATCAATTCAAATCAAATGAGCACATATTTTTTATACAGCAAGTATGATAAAGTAATTTTGATGCTACTGTATCATACGTTATATTAAAAAGATTCATCTTTATTCATAATTTCTTAGAGTATGTTAATTGTTTAACCGACTCAATCTTTCTTTTTTTTAACTATTTTGATTTTATTAGTGTGGTAATTATTTCTTTTTATATCAATACTTATTGAGAAAGACGTTTTGAATGCGCTAGGATCTGACGGAAATGAATGACTCAGAAAACCAATTGAAAGATTTTTTGCTAAAGCGGATTGGATTCAGCGGAGTTAAGCGAGTTTTTGGGAATAAACAAGCAAAGAAGCAAATAAAACATTGGAACCTCACGGGAGAACAATGAAAACTTTTCAAGATGGAGAATTTTACTCCTGTATTTGCAAGAAGTTGGTAGTCTATTTGGTTTGGGACCATTGATAGATTTACTTGTAAATTGATGCCTAGCTTCAATAAATAAAAAGCTTGTTTTTGTTTTTTTGTATTCAACAGTCATACCAAGGACAAATATAGGAATCGACAAATCCAACCTTCTGTTATAAATAATAAATTCAATTTAATCACGATCTATTTACTTAACGTGGTAAAAGAGAAGATATAATATGCTTCAGTTATGCTAATAAGAAAAAAAAAATAAAAACTTTCTCATTTAAATCTTTTTCATTTAGAATAAATAATTAGTATAACAAAATCTGATTATGAAGATAGTGTTGCTTGCTAAAGTTTTGAATTTTAGTTTGTTCTTTTTTGACGTAATGAGTCAATCCTTTTTTTTTTTCTCAATCATTGCACACGTAACTTATAACACAAAGTATACTTATTATTTTTATATTGTTAAAATTAATTACTAGTTCAATCAATCTATCTATTACAATCTAATAATTAATTATTCAACAACCTATTATGACGATACTTCTAGCCAATTATTTATTATAGTCAACATGAGACTTCTACGCACTATTCAAATAAAAAAATTTCTTTTCATTTTATTTCTTTCACATGAGTCTTGATAATGGATGTTATTTCCAGTATACACCTTTTTATTTCTACACGTCTTTTTTTTTCTCTATTCTAAAAGCAAATATTTAAAGAAAAATAATACAAGAAAAAGATCCCAAATAAATTTCATGATATAAGAGAACGTTAAGCAAGCAGCATATAAAGAAATATTTGTCTATAGGTCGGCTGTATAAAAGCAAACACAATCGTGTTGAAATAACAAAAAACATAGAATTATGTCTTCTGCGAATGAAGCTGCTAATGCTTTGCCTTCAAATTTTGATGTGAACGGTTTGAAAAATGCGTTTAGCAATCCAATACAAGCATTTCGTATGTTAGATAAAAATAATGATGGTCGCGTAACGAAAGAAGATTTACAATTATTATTACAACAATTTGGTATTAATGGTATGGCAGCTAAAGTTTTATCAAAATATATATTTAAACAATTGGATGCTAATGGTAATGGTACAATTGAACCAAGCGATCTTGTACATGCTAATGGTATACTTTCAAGTCTTTTAAAAACTAAACAAGGTGGTGGTGCTTATTGAAAATTGATAATAAAGAAACTAAATGATATTCATTTTGTTTATTTATTTATGTGCATGTAGTGAAAAATAATTTTATGCAGTTCATTTTTTTTTTTCATTCTTCTTATGAAATTTGAAACATTATTCATATTCTAAAATACAAAACATTAAAAAAAAAACACTGAAAGAATAATACAATCAACTATTTTGTCTTTGTATTGAAATTCTATAGCTATCGATATTGTTTTACGTACGAATGGATATCTGTTTCGGTTTATTTTTTAGTGGACAAAATTAGGACACAAAAACAAATTTTGATTACTGATATAATGCATGTGACGAGTTCAAGTGTTTTTACTTTGATTTGAAAAAGAAAAAACCTAGCCTTATTGATTCACACTAGAGTCAATGATATTCAAGTAAATAATCTAGACAGAATATTATTGATATGAACTTGCAAATGTTCGGTTAACAATCTTTTTGTTGAGCATTTGCTTGACAGAGATGGGACCGGTTCGGTTTTTAACCGAACCGAACCGACCGACCGTAACCGAAATCGGTTCGGTTGGAGACTTTTAGAGAATTCGGTCGGTTACGTTCGGTTCGGTTAGAGACTTTTTCGGTTACGGTCGGTTCGGTTAAAAATTTTAAAAAATTCGGTCGGTTATGTTCGGTTCGGTTAGAAAGAATCAACATAATCGTTTCATTTGAGTTCAATGGACTTTTTCAGTGAAACATAAGAAGAAAAAAGAATATAATCGTACAACAACTAGCTGTTGCTCGCAACGCGGATTATCTCACATATTTTTAAAATTTGCCCTGAGAGGTAAGGAAGTTATAATACAGTAAGAAGATCCAATAAATAATCTTTATTCTTTGCTTTCTCTAAGTGTTCATTATTTTTAGTTGCTATTATTTGATTTGTTGTTGCTAATTTATAAAGCACTAATACCCTAACTAAAATAAGCTAAACTTCGCTTTCTCTAAACTCGGTTCGATTACGAAATTTTTGAAATTCGGTCGGTTACGGTCGGTTCGGTTAGAAATTTTTAAATATTCGGTCGGTTACATTCGATTCGGTTAGAGATTTTTTCTGTTACGGTCGGTTCGGTTAGAAATTTTAAAAAATTCGGTCGGTTACGTTCGGTTCGGTTAGAGATTTTTTCGGTTACGGTCGGTTCGGTTTGGCAAAAATGCCAACCGATCCCACCTCTGTTGCTTGATTACTTTTTCATAGAAATTCAACATACGATAATATTCTAAAAAACAAAATTATGTTTAATATAAATATGTTTCTTCGACAACTAAAATTTGATGATAATTTAATAGCTAAATTCATAAGATGTAAATAAAAAGATGATTCAACAAATTATTGTTATTACAGAAAAGTATCTTTGAATGAATAATGACAAATGAACAAAAGATTATAATAACTTTTAGCATAAACAGTTTGCTATTTTACTTCACAGAAAATAGAGTAAATACGAACTTTGTGTGAAGAAAACCAGCTATCAAATTATTGATAATTCATTCTTTTATTTTTCTCGCTTCATTCATACGTTGACGACGTGCTTCTGGATGACCCATTAGTTTCATATTAGATTTGATTTCAATTTCTTTGTCATCGATTTTATTAGAATGATTATTATTATTATTGTTATATAATTTTGGATATCGCATAAAACAATTTTGCATTTTCATAAATTCTATCATACATTCAGAACCTTAAGGAATATCAAGTAATAATTACATATGAATAATTAGTTTTACTTTTAAATCAACGATGAAGAAAAGGTTCCAACTACTCAAGAATAAAAAAATAACTCGTTCGCATAACTGATCTTTTATATTTGTGTTGTAACTTGGAGAGTCCGAACAACTGCAATTAGTACTTTTCTCAATGTATATTGTAAAGTGTATCCCGACTTTATGTTTTGACATTATTGATAAGATCGTACAGATTCGAACCTCCAGAAAAAGACTAATAGAGAGAACATAGATCTAAATGGACCAGAAAAGTTTTTCATCTTTCACGATCGAAGCGATAAATCGGATGGATTCGAGGTTTTGTGTGATTACCTTTTGGTTCTTTGTTACTATTTTGATAACATGAAAATGCAGCACGAAATTGACTCGAACAAGGTCCAATAGCTTGTGTACCCAAACATGGACAGTCCCATAAAATAGTTCCATTAGATTGAACGGCACCTTCATTTAAATTCTCATTATATACATCAATCCAAAATTGTTTGATATATAAGTCATTTTCATTTGGTGTTATAGTATTTCTATCAGCAAAAATAATTTTATGTTGTTCATAATTATTCGTTTGATTATCAGTTTTACTAGTCGACATAATTCAATCTCTTAAAATATATCAAAATAATAATGCGCTCTTTTTTAATATCATATGATTTTTTAAATAATGAAAGAATTAATATCAAAAAATCAACAATGTCAAGTATTATTTAATAATAATGAAATAGAACATTATCAAATGCTTTATGATTCATTAAATCAAAAACAATTGAATAATGATAAATTATTTTCCGTAATAAAAATAAATGAGAATAACTCAATGATGAAAAAAACAACTGAAATTGATTGGCATACAACAATTCATCAAATTAATAAACATTCTTACATAGTTTCTATTGATAAAACACAACAACAAGACAAAGAATTTCATTCCGAAGAATTAACATTAAAAGATATTCATACAGAACTTATTCATAATAAAGAAAATCTTTTGACAAGTCAAGGTTTTATTCATATAAAAGAATATGTTCTTGATGGTTATGAATGTCAATGTCATGAACATAAAGATTTATTAATTGATGACGAGATCAATAATAAAAAACATTTAATTGATTATAAACTAGAATTTTAGTGTTACACTACATTATCGAATTTTTATATTTTTCAAAAACGATTAAAAACTGTAATCATGAAACATTTGTCTTAATGGCCACATTCTTTATCATATAATTTCCTTTTGTACTTTTGTTGTGATTGTCTGTTATCATTTGAATCGAATTCACAAACTTCATTCTTTGTTTTCAATCTTATTTGTTGACTGATTGAGAATCCAATAAAGAAATAATCTTTTGTGCTTTTTTCTAATATCTTTTATTCGTCTAAAATTTGTTGATAATGCAAGTATTTTTCTCCAACATTTATAAAAGATTTTCAACTAAAGAAAACTCAATCAAATGTGTCATGAAAAAACATGTTTCGAGCATATTTCTATAAGTTATTTTTCTTCTGTCTAGTCGTTCTTTTTGTTGGCAACTAGAATTGCTATTTTTAGAAACATTACAAAAAATGCAGAACGCATATGATATTAAAAAACTCTTTACACATTGTGTATGTAGAATTCTCTAAGATACAAAATGGGTATAAAACTATTTTGCATAATTGCTCTGTGCTCAAGATATATTATATTTGTTGTGTCATTCAAAAATGTAATAAAGACAGAAGAAACAATATATTAAATTTTTTAATCCTCTTGTTGCCGTACCAGTTTTTTTTAAAGACTGATAATCACACTTAGGTTTTATTAGTAATTCATAAGAAATATGATAATGTATTTTATATAAAACATCTACTTCGAGAATGTAGACCTATGGATACTTCGAGTGTGAGTGAAAAGAAAATTCATACTCACACTCTCAAGCCAGTAGTGATCTCAAAAGTGTGTCTCTAATATGTCCAAGATTTGATTATTTTTGAGAAATCTTTGTTTATTTTGAATATTTAACTCTACAAAAATATTTCACTGTTTGCTGTAGATAACATTATTTCTTCTGAGAGTTTTAAAGATCATTGGTAAAATCCTCAAAACCTTCGAGAATCAAAATTAGTGTTAGAAATTTGTACACTGGTCAACAAGGCAACATGTTCGATATGTTCACCTCAAAACTATTTTTTTTTTGACGTCAATTCAGAGAGGAACTCCTTAAGTGATGATTATGAAAATGAACAGCAAAGCTAGTGATGATAAGAATAACAGTAAAGTTGTTATGTTTTATTAAAACTCTTGTTCTCTTTATATGATTGTTTTTTTTTGATTAATTTTAGATGAGGCTTCCCTTCCCTCAAAAAAAAGTAAATTTTTGTCAGAAAATCCGAAGTTGAGATAGGGTGTGGGTGTGGGTGTGACGGTTAGTAGAGGAGAAACACCCACACCCTCCATTCTGATATGCTCTTCCAAACAAAAAACAACTTAAATATATAGAGTGAGTCTGAACAAATAATTTTGGGTCCCCACATGAGCTACTTTTTATCCTTGTTTGATGAATATTTTGGTCAAACTTCATGTTGCAGGGCTGAACATTTTACGATAGCTTCTCCACTGCAGTCCTAACAAATCTTGAAAACTTCATGCTATTTGAGAATGTACATGATCTGAGATCGATTTTTGAGGAAGACGGGGAAAGGCCTAAAGATTATACATAAAAACTGAACACTGCAAACTATCCATTGTTCTATTTCAATTCAAATAAGAACGAGATATCAGTGGTACATGCCTAATCTGACTGTAATTTTTGACTAAAATAAGAAAGGATTGTTCGAAATTTCTATAAGAGTGGAGGATACAATAATTTACACAAGAGCAAAATGCTGCACATTCTTCGTGATGAGTTCTAACCACGGCTAGTCATCAAACTTTCTGGTTACTACAAATTTGTAACAATTATCTCTGCCTCATATCATGGTATCCTCGCGTATCATATATCATTTTGAAGAGAAGAAAATTCTAAATACAAAAATGTCAAATAGAATTATTCTTTCACACCTAATATTAAAATTTTTATTGAACAATTAGTTTTTTTTCTACAGTCACGACCCGATGGTCATATTGGAGTCGAAGTGTATCTTTTTTTCCTATTCTACAACCTGCCTCTACCTAAAGTGTATGGTTTCCCTGATTAACTCATATAATATTTATATGTATTCACTTATTTATCTTTGTAACACTGTAGGAACGAAATTCGTTCAACTTTACTTTCCTCCTTTTCTAGTCTATAATATGTAGTTTTTTCCACATTTCAATGATAAATATAGTAACACACTACTTCTACCAATATATGCACGCATATATTGGCGACTCCAATGAATAATGCACGCAATTCATGAGCATCTTCGTTCGACCGAAACGTCTGTCAACTTAGTTTGTTAATGTTTTATCTAATGTTAATGTTAATGTTTCTTGTACATTCGAGAAATATATTCAAATGCATAATATAGATAACTTCATAGAATTTTAGGCATTTAGCTATGCATTATTAAGTATAAAAGCATTGATTGTTGGTTTGTTTCAACACTAACTAGAAGATATTCTTTTCGTCTTATCCTAGATGATATTGTTGTCATTCAATCATTATTGTTTCAATTCCAATTAAAAATAAATTGTCTTTGTTTACATCAGCTGATTCAATTCGGTTATAGCATTTTATTTGATTGATTATTATCTAAATTCTGTGTTAAAATAAAGAATTCTATACATAATGGTCGAAGTTCGTCGTATATTGGCATTGTGCGTACTATTTATATTCTGGTTTGTCTCCTTTTCATATTTCAAAACACTTGGACCTTCAATCAGCACATGCATTAGCACACATTTTTCTATTTCAAATAATAATACTACACGAAAACATTCTATTAATAATAATCTCTCATTATATACACAATATTGCACTATGATTGAAGCTAAACGTCAAGGTGAAAAATACAGTCTACTACGACACCACTCAGCTGGTTGGTCATCATGTTATTCTGATGATTATTTAGTTCAACTCTATGTAGCTGATTTAGATATATATAATGATAAGAAAATGATATTTATCGATGTCGGTGCAAATAAAGGATATACAATTGCTACTTGGTTGTCACTTTGGATGCCACATCTTGGTATTAATCCTCGAGTTTTAGGTGATTATTTACGCACTAAAATAAACTTAAATGATTGTGGTGCATGTGGTGATTGTCGAGAAGAAGGTTTTTTAAAGTTTAACTCGAGTCTACGTATTAACAAGGCTATTGAAATATATGCATTTGAACCGCAACCAAAAACGTATGAAATATTGACACAAATAAAACAATGGATGAATGCATCATTTATGTATATATATCAAACTGCGTTAGGTAATCAAACCGCAATTGGTTCTTTACAAAAATGCCCGCCAGGAGGCGAAGTCTGTGGATTAGAAACAAAAGCTAATATAAAATCTGAAAGTTATATTGCAACAAAAGTTACAACGTTAGATAAATTTTTAGAAGAGCAAAATATTACAGAAAAAATCGATTTATTAAAAATTGATACCGAAGGTTTTGATCCATTAGTTATTCAAGGTGCAAAAGATAGTCTAAATCGACATCAAGTAAGACTATTTATCTTTGAATATCATGGTATTGGAATATGGCCAACAACAACTCTTTATCAAGTGGTGAGGGATCTCGAACGCAAAGATTATGTATGTTATAAAATAGGTCAGACTGGTATATTACGTTTAACTGGTTGTTGGTCATCGGTTTTTGAAATAAAAACTTGGAGTAATGTTCTATGTATATCAAGACGTGAACCAAGATTAATTTCATTTATTGAAAAACTACTTATCCCATTTTAGACACATCTTGTTTTTTTTTTCTAATAAACTCGATAATTATTGTTTTGAAATCATATCAATTAGTTTAAACGAGTTTTAGAAGTTTTTCTAAAAACAAATTGATACATTTTATTCATTTATGTCTATTTCGTACTATCTGTTGAAAGGTACAAAACTACTGATTAATTTACTCAAGCATTTTGTTCGATCATTGATTAATATCTTTTCAGTATAGTCAAAGAATTGCGTCATGTTACACACATGTGTTGTTGTCAATCAAATTTTTTTTGCTTTATGTACTTACAAGTGATGCATGAATTTCATTTCAAAGAAGAATGAAACAATGTTAATTTCATACCATCAACAAGAAAGAAACACATGTGGTGGTCATCAATATTCTTATTAATTTTTCTTTTAATTCAAAAGATTCATCGAGGTTAAAAGATTCTTGTGTTGTTGTTTTTTTCATTCTAATAAATTTATTTTTTATTTTTAATTAGGATCTGGTGAATATTTACAAACAATTATTGTTCAACCACAATCAATAGAAGTTCCAGTTGGCGAAACAGTTACTCTTGATTGTACTGTATTTAATCAATATGGCGAAGTTGCTTGGTAAATATAAACATTTCGAAACTTTAATATATCTATATATCTATTCAAACAATAGGTGTAAAGATGGTCATTGTACAATGGGTCGAGAGCGACCATTATATTTCATTCCTCGATATGAAGTTATCGGTGATAGGCAAGCTGGTATGACAAAAGAAAAAAACAATTTTTTTTTTCTTTCTAATAATAACATGTTTTATAATTTTTCTTAGGTATAAATAGTTTAAAAATTCAAAATGTTAATCTTGATGATGATGGTATATATCAATGTCAAATTGGTCGAACTGTTGAAGCTCGTGAAGTTCTTTCAAATTTTGCTAATTTAACTATTCTTATTCCACCAGATCAAATTTCTCTAACATATGTACCACCTGGTATAGCTATTAGTGGAAAAGAATTTAAATTAAAATGTGAAGTACTTAATACACGACCAGCACCAATATTTACTTGGCAAATACCACCAAATACACATATTGTAAATATATCACAAGAAAAAGAACCTATGACACCGAATAGTAAATTACTTAAATCAATATCAATTATAACACTTATTGCTGATATTAATCAACATGGACAAGAAGTAACATGTGAAGCCACACATATAGCATTAAATAAATCATTAACATCAACAGCAATAATTGCTATTGATTGTAAATTTTAGTTTATTTCGATAGTTCAATTATTAAATTTAATGTTTTTTTTTTCTCTTTGTTTTATTTAGATTCACCTGTTGTTAAGATAATTTTAAAACCAACAAAAATGTATGAAAATAAAGATTATTGGTTTGAATGTATGGCTGAAGCTCGACCATCAATTACTGAACTTGTGTATGTATGATAATAAATTAGATTGATTTTTTTAATTTATAAATTCTTTTACAGTTGGAAAACAAATGATACAATACTCCAACGAATGCCACCTATGCCCGATGGTAGATATCCTTTGCATTTAACTGTTACACGTCAAATGCATAATCAATATCTATCATGTTCAGCAATAAATAGTGCTGGAATATCAGAAGATATAGTTATTCTTAATATTAATTGTATGTGATTGATATTCTTGTGTTTTATATTAAAAAAAAAGACTCTCGCTTTTTTGTTGCAAATAGATTCACCTAAATTTAATTCATTTCCTTTACCTTATACACTTGTTCATTTGGGTGATCCATTAATACTTTCATGTGATGTTGATTCAAATCCACCAGCAAATATACTTTGGACTAAAAATGGAGAATTTGTTGGTGGTGGAAGTCAATATCAAATTCCTGAAGTACATGAAAATGATTATGCTCTTTATGCATGTATAGCAACACTTGGAGGACAATTTACTAAAATTGTAGCATCAACTAAAGTTGTTCCACCTGGTATAAATATAGATTTCTTTTCTTTTATTTCTTCATATGTTTTTTTTTATTCTATAGGACCACCACGTTTTTACCCTCCACAATCAGTTCTTGCTTCTAAAGGTTCAGAAGTTATGCTTAAATGTCAATTAGAAAAAGATATTGAACCAAATGTATGTTACATCAATAATTTTATAATTTTTTATTATTCTATTCTAAATATTTTAATTTAGAATACATTTTGGATATTTAAAAATGTAACACTTATGAATAGTATGAAATATACAATAGTACCAGCACGTGATGTTAAAACAATACCTCGTTATGAATTAGGTTTAATTATACATGATGTACAAATAAATGATTTTGGTGAATATGAATGTCATGTTACAAATCAATATGGAAGTGAATATGCTCGTCTTCGTCTTGAAAAACGAAGTATATATTTTTGTTTTTTCTTTTTTAAATTCTAATTAAAATTTATTAACATCTTTTTTTTGTTTGTTTTTGATTTTTTTTTATTAGGTAGCCATCTTATCATGCAAATCGCTATTTATTTTGGTTTACTTGTTTTACTTAGTTTAATTTTATTTTCTTCATATTTATGTTGTCATCATGCTTGTCGAGTAGATCAAAGTATTATAATAAATAAGACTTGTTTTTTGTTGTTTCATTGATATTTATTATTGATAGAACGTATAACTATGCGTCAAATGCGACGAGTTCAAACTTGGTTAAAAAGTAAACCAAGTATGTGGATTCATAATTTAGCAGCAGCGGAAAAGGTTGTCGATTCTTTTTTTTTAATTATTTGTTGACTTGTACCTTGCTCTTTTTTTTTTCTTCTTTGATAGATTCCATTAACTGTCTATGATGTAAACTCAGGTGTGACGCGAACAACGCTTGATCCACCCGTTGATATTGTTGAATGTTATGTGTCGATGATGGATGAACAGAAACGTAATAATTTTGATCGACCTTTGTTACCACCACCTCCACCACCACCACTATCATCTCTAATGGATCGAATGCCTTTTTGTAATGATGATCAATCAGAACAAATCTATGAAACAGCTGATCCAATTTCATGGCATATTGATGTTTAAGAATTTTCCTTTTTTCTATAGACTAAAATTAATGTTGTACATGTGTTTTTTTTTCTTTCATTTTTTTTTGTTTTTAAACAACATATAATTATATGAATACATATACACTCCATTCATGCTTTCCTTTTCTTGTGAAATAACAAATAAGAATAATAACTAAATACGAATCGGAAAATGCGCGCATACTAAAGATTTTATCTGTACGCACAAGAATACACACATTTACAAACAATAATCAGATAAAAGACAATTTATATACTATTGGAAAAGAAGAAGTATATTAGCTGATAGTTTATTGTAGACCAAAATCCGACCGACACCTCTTTCACATATATGTATATATAATAATAAATATAAATACATTGTATTCTTTTTTCTATCAATATCAATATATTCTGTGTCTGTCACTCTCTTTCACTTGCTTCACACACTTAACAACATTCAAAGAAGAGAAAGAGTAATTTGAACAAAGAATCAGAACAAACAAAAAAAGAAGAAGAAAAAAAAAGAAAAGAAAAACGAGAAACAACAGTAAAAATAAAATAGCTGCTGCAACAGCTGCTCGCAAACGTACATGAAACAAACAGAAAACAAAAAAAGAAGAACGTTGTTTATACGTATTATATATGTAGATTATATTTCTATGTCAGCAAAAATGAAACCGATAAATTAGAATTTTTTGTTTTTGTAATCAATAGCCTAATGGCTAACCAACAACATTTAACAGTGCAAACAACAACAGATAAATCAAAAAAAGAACGAAAAGAAGAAACCGAGCCCATACGTATACATTCAAATAGATAGAGATGAAAAGAAGAATAGATATTAAAAAAGAAAAAGAAAAGAAAACATTTTTTTTTGTTGTTTTGAAATTATTTCACTGTTATTTTTTTATGCCGGGAGAAAACGGAGAAGAAGAAAAGGCATTATCAACTGATATTGATGAACCATTATTATATTTTGAATACATAAAATTAGCAAATATGGCTATAAATATTGCTAATAATGTAAAACCAACAAATATAACAATAGCCCATTGTTGATCAGTTAATGTTCGACTTTCAAATAATTGTATAGATTTTAATTTACGATTTAATAATAAACGATAACGATTTATAAATGAAAGTTTTTGTTCTAGATGATAATCATCATTTATTGAATGATTATGTGAGGTTTTTGATACAGATAAAACTGCAGCTAAATCTTCAGGTCGAGGTAAAACAAAATGTGTTGCAGGACTAAACTGACTATTTAATGTTAAACCTTCACTTGTCGAACGTATAGCACAAACACGTACACGATAATCAACACCAGCTTCTAAATTCGTTGCACGATATGATGTTGATTCACCATGATAGATTTCTGTATAATCATTTTCTTTTCGATAAATTTGTAATTGAAGAATATAACTTATTGGATCTTTACCAAGTGGTTTATGAGCTTGCCAATTAAATACACATGATGTTGAAGTTATTTCATTGATATTTGGAGCTACAAAAAACAAACAAACAAAATTGTTAATGCAATCCCTATACGATTATAATGTGAAACATTATGTAGCTTCTTATTGATATATATAGTCTCTCATCATAGATATATATCTTTTACGACCTATGGTGTGACGACGAGAGCATAGCTCAAGTGTCTGTTGTGGTCTCTATGGAGAAGGTCGAATTTACAAAAGGCAACTAACAAAAAAAACAAAATTATAAACCTTTTAATGCATTTGGTGGTGCTTTAGTTGTTGTAAATGTATAAATTTCTGACCATGGGCCAGCACCTGAATCATTTTTTGCACATATACGAAAATTATATTGAGTATTTTCTTGTAATTTATTTATTTTATGTGAATATGTTGTACCGGTATAAATACAATTAAAACTATGGCAGAGAAAAAAAAGAAACAATATGCATTTTATAATTCATAATTGTTATTTGCTTAACTTACTTTCCATCTT